CTTTTTCTCATACTCAGTACCCCCACCCCACTCCACATCTTAGTGGTTTTATTGCCTTGCTTAGGGTGAAAAGATTTAAAAAAGAAAATATTTCATCATTGGATCCAATATTATGATCAAAGAGTATGTAATTCTAGGTCCCATTCATTGTGCTACTGATACCACACTTAATAAATGATTTAATCACGTCTTCTCACACGAATTCTTCAACTAAACGTACAACTGAGTAAGTTTCGCTTTTTTCTTTTCAATATGTCACATTTGATTACGTAAGTCAATCTTTTCACAATAAAATTGGTAAATTTTAATGAACAATATCCATAATGAGTTTCAATTTATAATAAAAAATATTGATAACTTCTTTTGGGATGTCAAGTTTTATTATGCAAAGTGCTTCGCTTCACGCCATTACAGAACCAAATCCAGCTTACACAAGAGTCTACTGACAGGCAGTATCCATAGCTTCATGATGTCACCTCTAAACACGAACTCGACAGTTTGAACGATTTGGAAACGTAACTAGTCTGCACAGGAAACACAATGCCAGTCTGCTACTGCCCTGTTACGATGTACAGTAACTGTGTTTGTCAATAATGATCCTCTTGTTCTGCCACGACAACAAAACCCCGTGGAATGCAGCATACACTGTGATCAATGGGGTTTTGTAAGGTAAGCGAACACCTAGTAGTCAGGAGTTCTATCCCTAGCTTGGATAATACAAAAAAAGTAAATAAATAAAAAAAAATAACATTATACATTCTGGTTTAGTAGAAGAAGAGAGAATCGATGTCTTAACTGCTACAAGATATACTTTAGCATGGACAATAAAATGAGAACGATCTACTCTCGTGGATGGAATAAAGAGTTCGGTTCGAACTTCATCTACAACAAATAACTGAAAAAAATGAGAGTATAGTAATAGCCAAAATGAGAACACTAATGGATGATAATGTTAATTACGCCTCACAAAAATTCAGGCAAAAATCATTCGAACAATATTAGTGCTTTTCAAAGGCACAAAAAATACAGTAATACTATCACTTTTATTTTTATTTTGATCAAAACTCAATTTCGTGTTTCAATATAGACACATCCATGATTAAATAGTTACGTATCTAGCAAAAGTATTTAAAATTATGGATGTGCAGGTAGTGTAAGGGTTAACGGCTCATAAAGTGAAATTGGTGAGCCGAGTTCTAACTTCGACCGAGTTTGTTTCGCTCACTTTTTCATAAATACTCTTGAAGAAGGTATGAACCCATCTCAGTGGAGTTGTACAACAGGTACTGCAAGAAGAAATAATCATTTTTTTTTGCAAAAATTTTCTTTTCGAATTACGATAGATTAAGTCTTCTGGATCATGAATATATATAAAAAAAAGAAATATTAAATTTTATAAAAGTTAATAGAAGGTCCGGTTTGCTATGTAAATTGATCACTCAACCAAAGACAAAAAAAAAATATGTTCATACGACATGTAGTCCTGGGTATGACGATAAACTACATCCGGCAGCAAGGCCTCTGATCGGGAGAATGGGGGTATTGAAGAGCCTCACGCGGGGTAGTAGCACCTGATAGGCTCCCAGCTATGGGCATATAGTGAACCCCCAAACAGAAACAAAACACCATGAAAGTATAAAAATACATTTTTATAATAAAAATACCAGTAATACATTTTTTATATATAAAAAATAATTTACAATACCTATTTATAGTAAAATGACCAACAATATATGTTATCTGTAATTGAAGGCATTGATTTGTGTTCATAATATTTAGATTTCGGCATTAAATAATCCATATGCCACTAAACAAAACCAACAAACCAACATGAAAGAACTCTTTCATGACATTAACCTATATAATATCCTACAATTTCTTAAAACAAACTCTATTCTAAAATATAACTTTGACAAAACTACAACATAAAACACACACATCACCGCCTGTAGTAATTATGTCTCCAGAAACATGTATATGTCCAATAGCTGAATATCATCCACCATGTATTTAATTGTGAAAGCAGAATGATATGTTTACTACTGAAAACTCACAAGAAAATTAAATTTTGGCATTGAAACAAAACATACGATGTGATTTCTTAAAATGTAAAAGTTAATAAAAATGTAAATTCGTGATCGGGAATGTTTAATGAATATTAAAATATGAAAAAAGAACTCCGTATTATGAATTTTAATTTTTATTTCTATTTTTTCATTTTAAGAAATTGCTCGTTTTGAGCTAATATTCCTTTTTTCATTTCTGTACTTTCTTGCTTTGCTACTGTACACTAGATAACGCCAAGAAATTACAATCCCAATGATAGACTTGAATGCCAAAGTCGGCAAAGAGAGAGATGGTGAAATATTTGGCTAGGAACTCCGTAAAAAAAAAGGTCCTATGATGAACGGCGAATAATCAGGTAGTAGCCAACAGATAGTTTCAAGAACACCGAATAAGTATATGGACATAGAGAAGCCTCGGAAGAGAAACGAAAAACCAAATCAACTATATAACTATTAATAAGATTCAAGAATGCAGTTTTACACTGCAAAACATACCCAAGTATCGATTGTTGGAGCAACAACCTGCTAGTGATATGTAAACTTATAATTGGAACTATAGAAATTGAAGATGGCCTGGGCAGCACCAAAATTATAATACGACAGACACCTGAATGGCCCAAATGTAAAGGAGAAATATATGGACATTTTAAAGGCAAATACAATGGACAAAAGAAGAACGGAAACTTGAAGTGGGACAGAAGAGAAGCTTTAGTAACATCTGCAGTCGAGATCATCCCAATGAAGAATAGACAAACAAAAACAGAATGGATGACAGATTAAATTCTTGACATGATGAAAAGGAAATAAAAAAAAATCCCGCTAGTGTACGGTACAGAATATAGGACTGTATAAAGAAAATAGGAACAAATACAAGCAGTCTAAAGAGGAATTAAATAAAGTTAAACGAAAGGGGGTTAGACAAAAATGTGCAGAAATAGAAAGAATGAATATCACAGATAAAGCAGATAAGCATAAAAAAAATAAGAGAACTAACAGGACAAAATACCTGTTCATGAACAGGGTACATAAAATTCAAAGGCGGGACATTGATATTAGAGAAAAAATACTTCAGAGATGGAAAAAATATGCCGGAGAACTTTTTCAGGACGAAAATACAGCAAGACACAGAAATATCGAAGGACCAAAAATATTAAAATCTGAAGTGGAATAAGCACTGTCAAAATTTAACAGGAACAAAGCAACAGGAACAGACGGAATTGTAAAAGAGATACTGGCAGCCTTAGATGATTTCGGTATTGACAAGATTACAGATCTAATAAATGAAATATACAACAGTGTTGATATACCGGAAGACGTAAGTAGATCCATTTTCGTAGCACTGCCTAAGAAGCCAGGTGCAAACAAATGTGAACTCCACTGGACAATTAGCCTAATGAGCCATATAACAAAACTGATCATCCTGATTCTCATGAATAGAGCATGAAGCAGAATCAGACTAGAAATAGGACAGCGCAGGTTCTTTAAAGACACTGGAACAAGGAATCCGATATGTATTTTCAGAATAATACCAGAAAAAGCAATACAAATGCAGAAGGATGTGTACCTGTGTTTTATAGGATCTTTCATGAGTTATACTGTAAAATTATTCTGTCTTATTATTCTAAGTTTGTTCTTTATTTTTAATTTTTTGCCATAATCTTATATGGCTAAATCACAAAGTTACTCGTTTGTTTGCCGAAAAACTATCACCTCGACAACAAAATGATAAGCATTAAATCATTTCTCTTACTCCTTACCTTAAGCAATATTTTTGTACGTTATTTGTTACCTATATATGAGTCAAGACTTTACCCTCATGAGATTGATTGATTGATTTAGATTTTACGGATTATTAACATGCTATTTAATATATCTCACATTGTAGAAACGTTGCTTAAATACCCGGGGTTCCTAAGCAGTCTCTCATGTAAGTATTGACCAGGTGTTTTCAGAGTGATTTTCCCATATAAGCAAACTCATAAGAACATAAATTTCATTGTATAGAAAATATTTAAATTGAAGTTAGATAGTCCTACATTTGCTTTTCTTGTACACGACACTTTCCCTTGACCCAACATTGTGGTTAATAGTAGGATTATCCAATATAAATATCCTAATAGTAGGATTATCCAATTTTATCAAGTAGGATAAAATTTGTTGAAATCTATCGTTTTTGTTTAACAGACATATTATCTTCACCAGATATATAATCATCTTCCTATAGCCTGGCAGAATTTTTAATTCAGATTTTTATACTCTTAGACTGGTTAACAACCACGGCTAAAAAATAGTTTGTCTTGCTGTTTAATTACATAGAGAAAAAGAGATGGATTCCTATTTTTTAATCAATTCACCACAAGCAAGACGATGATGCTACGAAGACGCAAGGGCTACTGGAAGTGAAAGAATATGAAAAGACTTTAAAATGAATCGGAAACACAATCCTCAACAGGAAACAAGAGATAGACCTTTACTTACTTTAGTACTTGTACGAAAGTTAATATAACGATCTTGACTAAAATTCGAACGGGGCTCGCCAATTTTACGTTACGTGTTGCTAACCATTTCACCACACCGCGTGCACATCCAGTGCTCTTGCAGTTTGTTAAAATTACTTGTAAAAATGTTTTTATTGACTTCTATTTGTTCAGACATTGACATCCATCAACTAATTATGAGATTTACTCAAATTTGTCACAAAATGACATCACAAAATAATAGGATAACAACAACGATAAAATTAAAACATAAATTACATTTATCAATTAACATACACCTATTTCTCTCTGTTACTTTCTCTCTATGTGTATGTATTTGTTTGTCCCCTTTCTCTCTCTCTCTCTCTCTCTTTATGACGTTTGCCTACTTCTGTTCCTCAATGACTATCACTTTCTCTAATTATATTTGTTTGTCTGTCCGTCTCTTTCTCCGGCTATGTCTGTCTCTCGCTCTCGATATCTGACTGTCTGTGCCTGCCTGTCTCTCTCACTCTCACTGTATCTGTCTTTCTCTGACTATATCTGTCCGTCTGTCTTTCTCTCTGACTGTCTATCTCTCTGTGACTCTGTCTGTTTCTCCTTTTCTCTAACTGTACCTGTCACCCTTTTATACACGCTTACGCCTGTCCCTCTATCTCTCTCAATCTCTGTCTGTTTTGTCTCTCTAATGCATCATGTCACTGTCTATTTGTCTTAATGTTTCTTCCTTCTTTTTCTCTCTCTCTCCCCTCTCTCTCTCTCTCTCTATATGAGCTTTTCTATCCATTTTCTAGTCTTTCACTCTTTCAGAGTCTCCGATCTCTCTTTTCTTGTCTTTATCAGCTATACTGTGTCTATCTTACTCGCGCTGTTTTTCTTTCTGTCTCTCCATCTCTTATTCTCTTTATTTCTATTATGATCTCTCTCTCTCTCTCCGTTTTGTGTGCCTGTACCAGTAACACTATATCTCTTTTATTCTATCTATCTGAGTCCCTTTCTTTCTTGGTGTTTCTTCCTCTCTTCTCCTGTCACTCTTATCCTAATTTTGTCTTTCTCTTTATCTCTCTTTATTTCCGCTTTTTCTATTTTTGTTATCCTCTCTCTCTCTCTCTCTCCTAGTTACTGACCTTACTTTTCCACTCAATTTTTCTTCCACTGTATTCTTGTCCCTCTCTATGTCCTTAGAAGTTTATCTCTTTCCATTACTCTTTGTCTTTTCTTGCTACATGTATTGCGATCTTTATGTCTCTCACACGTATTTTCTGTTCTATCACTTTCTGTCTCTCAAATCTTTATCTCTGCCTTTTGTTCTGTTCATATTGTTCAATCTCTCTTAGTCTTTCTTTGTTCGTTTGTCTCTTTTCTAATTCTCTTTGTTCCTCCCCTCTTTCTTTTTCTTAGCTTCTCTTTCTTTGTCATACTGTTCCTTTCTCTCTCTGTCTCTCTGCTTTTCTCACATTTAAGTCTTTGCCGTCATTTCCCTCTCTGTTTTATCACTTTTCTTCTCTGTTATTTAGTCCTTCTATCTTTGTCATTTTTTATTTTCTTTCTCTCTCGCATCTTTTCTTCATCCGACCTACTATCACATCTCGCTGTCTCCTCCCCCAACTCCCTCTCTCTCTCTTTTAGTCTTTTTGTTTCTGTATTTTCCTCCCTTTTGTTTCGTATTTGATCATCCTCTCCCAGACTTTCTATCACTGCCTTCGTGTCACTCGCTCTTTTTATCTCATGACTTTTCTTCTGTTGTCCTCTTTCCTGCTGTCTTTTCATTTATCTTACTAATACTTACACTCTTATTTTTTTTTATTTCTATATTTATATCTGACGCATTTTGTACCTTTCTTTGTCTTTTTCTCTCCCTTAGTCTAGCTGTCTCCCTTTGTTATACCCCACTATCTCTTTCTCTCTCTCTTCCTGTCTTTCCTTTTCTGTTTTCATATTAATCTCTATCTCATATCCTTTCTTCTGTTCTTTATACTTCTCTTATAATCTTACTGGCTGACTATTTCTTCTCTCTCTCCTTTACCCCACACACTGATTCTTTCTTCATCTGTTCCATGTCTTTTTCTTTCTTTATATTTCTCTCCTTCTCCTGTTTTTCCCCTTTCTCTCTCTCCTTCTCTTTCGTTATGACTCTTTCTTTAGGTGTTCTGTCTTTCTCTCTCACCTAGTGTCTCTGTATCTTTTTTTAATTACCTCCACTATTTCTCAGCCTTTCTTTCACTCTCTATTTCTATCTCATAGCCTTTATTTTTCTCTTCTTTATTTCTCTCAATATTTCTGTCTCTGTCCTTTTCTTTTTTTTCCCACTCTGAATTTTCTTCATCTTTTTTTTACTTTCTCTTCCTTAGTTTTCCTATCCTTGTCTCTTGTTCTTACTTTCTCCCCTTCTCCCTTTCATCAGGTGTTCCGTCTCTCTCTCTCTGTTTCTATCTCAAAGCCGTTATTTTCCTGTTCTTCCTCTTCTCTCTCTCTCTCTCTCTCAATATTTATGTCTGTCTTTTTCTTTCTGAGTATTTCTTCGTTTTTATTTTATTTGTAATTTCTTTTCCTTAATCTTTCCATCTCCGTACTCTTTCTTTCTCTTTCTCGGTCTGTCCCAATATTACTTACTCTGCTTCCATCTCTCTTTCTGTCTTTCTCGTGACATCCAAACATCACAAATCAATCTAATCACAAGACCCACATTGACTCCATCCTGACAAAAATAGCACTTCCAGCTTTCTCAGACACGTCACATGACAACAGTCAGAGAACGTTCAATTAACCTTTTCAATACAGAAGATAGTCATGCTATTCTTAAAATTATTACTTTGCTGCAAATTTTTCCAGCGATTTTTACTATATATTTTTTTTATTCATATGAACTCATAGCATGATTATTCAGTCCACAAATTAGTTTCTTGGCTTTTTACGAACTTACATCACATTTTAACGTAATATTCCATCAAACAGAACGTTTGTTGTAGCTTTCTCTCTCCTTAAAATATACATCTTGTCAATAAAACCTTTGTCTGAAGAAGTTCCTTTCAGAAGAAAAAACGTGTCACTAATAATTTTTACGTCATAAGAAATAAGTAGGGAGCTTCGATGTAGTGTAATGGTTGTCAAGTTAGATTAATTATTATTGAGTAGTGAGTTCGATCCTCACTAAGCACTTCACGCATTCGGCCATATATCACATCTAAGCTACACTTAGAAAATCAGCCATAAGATATAAGTTGTACACTTTAGCGACCAAAGAGGGTTCAGGTGGGGCAGCATTATGAGAATTAGTATATTGAAGTAGCATGCAAAATTAGTTGTGACATTTTTCCTGTTTGTGTCATTTTTTACTTAAATTTACTTTATGGTTAAGTAATAAATGGGATATTTATTTTGAGGGTTACACTATAAATTAGTTATTGTCAGGGAAAAATTCACCGTGACTATGTCGTCAATGTAAAAATTATCCTAAAAATTATTTACTAAAGGAGCTTTTTTTCTAATTTTTAAAAAATGTTTTCTTACCTTTTTATTTTGTTAATTTGTTTGTTAGTGTTGTTACAGTTTGGTTTTCAATCAATACAAAATAAATGGCTGTAATTTTAATCTTTTTCTTCTATATTTTGTAGATGTTGTCCAGTTTTCGAATATTGGTTACAAGGGTAACAAAATTCTACTGTACCGATTGCCCCTTGACTTGAAGAGGTTAAGAGTGTAGCGTTCAGAGAAGCAGCCACACAGATGTCTGTTGCACAAAAACACCGTTTCTTGAGGAAAAGAAAACTGTCTCCTCACACTTGGAATATGGGGAGGATAAGGTTGGTTCAACTCCATGGATGTAGCTTGGTTTGGTTTCTTTTACAGCATATCAATCTCAATGGGTTATTTAATGCCGCCCGGGTTTTTATTGGTGGTAATTTTTCAAAAATGTATTGGCAACAATACATTTTTACAATAATGTATTGCTAATAATAATTTTTTTTACAAAAATGTATTGCTGGTAATAAAAACTATTTTTACACTTTCATGGTGTTTTGACATCAGTTTGTGGTTAATTATTTGCTCATAGCTTAGACCCTTAGCAGATACTAGCACCGCGGGTCATGGTGGAATATGGGAACACCAGCAATTAAGAGGCGGTTTCAAGCTCCTCAAAACCTCCTTATCAGAGGTCTTGCTTTTAGATGTAGTCTATCGTCTTACCCGGGACGGTGTAGATGTAGCTCTAAAGGTTTAAACTGATACAACTAAAGAATGGAGCTCGTTCAAACATTTCCCATGGAAAAAGCGATAGCATAGCAACAAAATTGTGAAATTGCGTCTATTGGAAAGACGCTGCAGAGTGCGAAATACGTCATCCCACAAGGCCGCTTAAACGAATTTGGACACTGTCAAGGTTGGAAAGTAAGGATTAGAGAACTCCAGCCCAGATACTCCATTTTTGGTCGAATCTGGCTGTTATAAAGATAAAGCATAGCAGAAGGAGTCAAGTACCTTCTGGAGCGGTAGAATGTGTGGTGATTATATCGACGAAATACGCCAGGATACAGCCCTACTTATGAAGAGTTAGTGCTAAGTCACGTGTCCCAGAACGAACTAGACGATAGCTTTTGAAGAAAAAAAAACGAGACAACATGTACTATTTAAATATATTTAATATCCAAACAGAAAAAAAGAGAAATAATGGGAAAAAAAGTGTTTGCAGACAATGTGTGTCTGCAGAATTAGTGTCTGCAATCTTGCTGATAGTCATTGTTGGAGGAGAAATCCCTTTCCGTCCTCGGTTAACTTCTTTAGTAGTAGTAATTTATCTTGGGGTTACCAGATGCCACTAACCGTGCTTGTTGCGAAGAAACAGCATTACTTCGTGCTGTCGGTGTAACGTGATGGAAAAAAATAGGATGGGTCTTTGAATTTGGCGCTTATATATCTAGAGTTACTTGACCCATTTCAGTGAATTGTCCTTTCTTTTTCCATTCAGTGTCCTGGTTATATTCTGTGCTTGAATAGTCTTATTTTTCTGATTGATTATTCTAAATTCCAATAAATGAGCTGACTATTTTCTCGCGCATCTTCAGTCGATCATATAATATATGAGTTCCATTTGATCTCTGGGGTGAAGGGGGAATATCTTAGAACTTAAAAAGAAGAATACTTGCGTGTGAGAGCTGGTGGCAACGTCTTACGAAGCTTTGTTAGGTGGTTGATAATTGTCTCTTTTGACTCTTTGTCTAGCAAGAACTCTATCTTCTGTGTGAGAGCCGGCGACAATGTCTTGTGAAAGGTTTTGTTGAATGACTCTCTTGTTAAGAAGAGGCTCTGTCTTCTATGAATCTTCTATTAAAAGTCCTAACATATTTTGGCGCGCTGAACTCTGATTGGCTACTAAACATTCTAAAGTTTTGTTAAAATGATCCTAATTTAAGATTATTTCTATAAAATGTAGAGAAAATGTAGCACAAAGCCTAGAAATGGTGGAAAGAGGAGGCTATCAACAATGTTCTACGATTTAACCTAGCCACAAGATGCATTAAGAATTTAGTTTTGAAAAGTGATTATGTTTAAATTTCAAGTTATATTTGGAAAGAAAAAGAAAACTTTAGCTAAATAAAAATTAGCAGAGACAGACATTACTTACGGGCAACATTGGTCGTGTTCAATATTTGTTTTACGAATTTAACTATATTTTACTTAAATTAATTTTCGAAAAATAAGACTCGCTATAATATTTACTTTAATAAAACTTGATTGAAAATTATTCACTTTCTTATGTTAGTTCCAAACCAAAAAACAATTAAGTTTATTTTTTAAAGATTGAATAAAAAAATTATTTTCCAGAAGTTGTCCGAAAAATATTAATAAGTCAATAATACACACGCACGTTAATTATTGTAGTTTTAAAGTTTTAGCCAGATACACACTCGAATATTAGAATAAATAATTATTAAACTTTTTGTCAAATAATTCTATTTAATATTCTTCTTCTTTTAAATTTACTTTGTTGTTTTAATATTCAGTTCTTTTGAAGTTACGCTCTTATTTACTATAGATGGGGAAATAAAAAGAATAGAAATTTTAAAAATACATACATGTATAGCGTTTTGGTAATCCTAATCTGGAATAAGAATTATTAACGTTCGTTTCTATTTTTTAATTCTGAGAAATTCGAATCAATTCTAATGCATTTTAATTTTAAAATATCTTCGTAAATACAACTCATACGATGATATTTTTTTTACAAAAAGCTGGCTTGGGTAATAATGAGTCTGGATATATATTTACTTTGTCGTTAATTATTGTAGTTTGTTAGTTTTAGCCTCACATACACACACACACACACACACACACACATAAACAGACAACTGCCCTTTATATATATATAGATAGATGGCTGAAAAATATCAATAAATTGTCAATAATAAACTATTATTCAGAGATCTTCCGAGGAACGCTGGATATCACCATTAGTCATAAATAAATATGAATGATGTTTGTCATAAATAAGGGTGTACAAATGAAAAGATTTGAAACTGCGAATTTTTCCCATTTCAATAAAACAACCGTTAAACACTTTATCTTCTCTTCTTTTATTTTCTCACTGCAACCAAGTAATGTCTTTCCCCGTTTTCCACGATACTAGAACAGAATAGTCCATTATTTATGCGGTATTGACAGATGTTAAACACTTCTATCTCTCTTTCATTTTCTCACTGAAGCCAAGTAAATATATCCTTCCTTTCCAGGCGATTAAAACGGAATAGTCCATTATTTATGCAGTATTGGCGAGAGACAACGGTCGTGCGGACTAACGAAGGAAGGAACAAGCACAATTTTAAAAGGATACAACACTCACACAAAATATTCACACAAAATCAAATTATCGCCCTATTAGTATCTTACCGCTTTTCGGCAATGTATTCGAGTCTAATCAATGCTGAAGTGGTTAAGCATCTTACTT